AATATTGTTACGTCTCCGTTTGTTAACTGATTTTTCCGTAACTTCGTTTCAACGAAACTTTAACGACACAAGTCTTTACTTAATAAAACTGGTTTATTCTTTCCGAATATAACTCTGCGATACACTTAATCTCAATACTCGCGCTAAAACAACACTGTAACGAACGAACGTTAACTTCAACAATACCGTGTGACTGCAGTTCAATTACTCACTATTTACGCACACATTACATTCCCCTCTTTTATATATCCGTCTACCCTATATCTAGTAAGAACTTGAACATTCGCCAAAGTACATGATAGTTCTAGAAACGTTGCGTCACAGTAGTCATGTGACTCGATGACGCAACAATATTATTGCTTATTATTTACTTTATAATATTTTTGAGTTGGTAAGAATAATACCCTTAGAGGGACAGTTTATTTGGGAAGGATAACCCTCCCAAAGCCTCTCATACGCGCTGCCCCTGAAACTGGCCAGATCTGTAAGCATATAGTTCTTCGGGGTCTGCTTGACCCTCCTTGTCCATACCCCGGGTAAGTGGTAAGTTTTATGTCTGTGGCTTTTGAGTATTATAAATATAAATACTCAATGTAAAATCTGTGATAGAATTGTTATTATTATATTTTCGTAGTGATCGCAGAGCATGTGGGGATTCACAAATATAGTTATCTCCTAAATTACCGGCTTGTCTTTGTATTGGTGTTGTTCGTAGGGCTTGGTAGTGAGAGTGATCGACTGCTGTATCTAAATGAGTATTTGGTCGTTCTACGGGGAGGGTCACGTTCTATTCAGACCTTTTCCTCCAAAGTGCTCGACTCACAATCTGCGGGACACGAGCTCGAATCCTGTTACTAAACATGTTCGCTCTCTCACCTTTGAGAAGATTATATATCAGTGTCAGTCCCATTTTTCATTGATAAAAGAGTCGTCCAAGAATTTGCGGTAAGTAGCGTTGATAGTAGCTGCCTTCCCACTAGCCAATTACTTCCGAATTAGAGACGGCTATCACAGATATTCTGTGAGTAGCTTTGCACAAAAACAAACAAATAGTAGCCTGCATATTGATCAAGAGAACCATTAAGTTGCTTTGATCAGAAGCCTTGGTTCTTTGACATTCTTTTAAAATAACACCTGGTCTGACCGTGAAAGGTTTGGGTATCATACTGTTACGTCTCTG